GTCCATCCGCATTTGTTTCTGCAGCGAATAGAAGATATACGTAAAAAAAGAAGAAACACTAGAAGCGAAAAGTAAGGAAAAGCAGCCGCCTAAACCCTCTAGGGTACGCAAACGAAGGCAAATTTTATAATCGTTGCTCAATTTGCAGTTTAGTATTGATGTGGTTTAAATTTCGTTAACGGCAAAAGTGTCGCATTTGATGGGATTTCGTGCGAAAATAGGAAAAAGATTTTTGAAATGAAGCAATTTTCTGTTGGCAAATCTCCAATTTCTTTACATTTCAGGTACTGCGGGCTGGGGGATACGGAATATAGTCAATCCGGACGTTTATATTCATTCGATTTTTTTATTATTTCTTCGTTCATGATTTTTGTGGGTTAAGTTTGAGATTACGATCTTTTGCGTTATTATTTATATGGTTTATTTTCTCGTTAAATTTTTGTTCTGCTTCATCTATATTTTCAGGAGTGACAGATGTTTGAACATGTCAAAATTAAAGTTCTGTCTTGGTTTGAACATCTACTTATTGATCCTCCCTGTATATCGTTTATTAAATACCGACACAAATTAAAAACAAGACGACTACTTGACGCACAACAGATAATATACCGATGAAACATGGCAGCTGACAGTTTCCTAAGCAGCCGATTCGTCGGCTTTTCCGGCCTTTTTCTGAAACGCGCGCTACTTTTCTCGCGAACCGGCAACGTCGCCCGTATTTTTCGGCCCTGCGTTACCTTCAACTCCGTGTGACTGGACTCTCGCGGCACAATGGGTGAACGATCTATCCGAGGCTGCCGCCTAGCTGTGTTCGCTTTATATCACGTGAGTTCTCCGACCGGCGTAAAACAAGAAAATTCTGGAAATTATTATCTATTATATGATTGCTATTGCACCATTTTCAATTTTTTACCATTTTTTGCGTTTACCTTTTCAAAGTATGTCATTCTATTCAAACCAACAACAATTGGTTGTAGCCCAACGTTCGATGTTAGAAAAATCGCGAGATAAAAAAAAACCTAGGCATGAAATTTGCAAATAATTCTCAAATATCTTCACTTTTGTCAAATCGCAGTTTGTGAAACAAATAAATGGATTTCAAAAGAAAAAAACATTAATTTATTTGTTACTCACTTACACGACAAGGGACATATTTAATTTCCTGTAAAAAAGTTATTCTGGATATTGCGAGATTCAGCAAATCGTTTTTCGTCAACAAAATGTTCTTAAAACCCAGGTGAATACCGCAGTTTTTATTAAATTATTTTGTAGCAAATAGGCTGACGGGTTTCATTTTTGCCAGGACCAAGCCAAACTGTTTCGTCAAATAACAATAAAAATAAGCGTGCTAAACAAGCATTTTCTTTCCACTTACTTACTTTAAAAAAAGCCTTAACGTACACAAATAGGAGCAATGATAACAGAGGCCAACTTCCAACTTTTTAAAAAGCGATGAGAAAATTATCAGCCTTATTTACTACATTGGAAATTGAGACTTTCAACGTAAATTATGGTCATCCAGACGCGCCGGCAGAGGCGGTCGAAAGCCTCGCGTGTCCATTAAACCTCGAGCACAACGTGGACGGGGATAAATTTTACATTAAGGGGTCATTCATCACTCCTGCTCGTTTCCACGAACGGAAGAGGACTTTTCCCCTTTTTTTGGAGACGCTAACGGACATTTAATTTACTCGGTTTTTCGGGCAAAATCGACGCAAAATTAATTTGTATTGACGGCGAAGTTGGTTACATTACATTGATTATACTATATAGTTGGTGTCGCCAGCAGGCATTTATTTTAAAATGGCGTCCTTTGTGCTTTCGAAATAACAACTAAAAATTTAATAAATATCATACTACCAGCACTATCAGATGGCTATTTTTATATTACTAATGGAGATTGACTCAGACTACCCCTTCTTAACTAAATTTCTTCTTCTCTCCTGCAGTAAAATCTGAAGGAATGCATAAATTTATTTTTGTGTTTATTTTATGGATATCTGGAAACGGAAATTTATTTTAAGCTTGTTTACCAGGCCGCATGAATGTGGAAATTTCGAAAAAGAATGTAGACATCAGTATCAGTAAAATTAAATGGTGGATTAAAACTTTAAAAAGCTGTTGACAATTAAAGACGGTAAAAAGTAGTCTTTAGATTTTTGCTAATAATTTTTGTGAATCTTCAAAGGTCCTTAAAAGGGAAAAATTTACTTAAAAAGAAGTTCCGATTCTATTATTAACAATTTTATTTTAACGTTGAAAATGTCGTAGAGATTGAGATTGCGCTCATGGCATCACAAGTTACTAAGTTAACAATAAAAAATTTTTTAAGGTTATATAAAGTAGTATAAAGTAGTATAAAGTATAATCTAAACACTTCAAAAAATTGATTCCCGTTAATTTTCCAATAACTATACCATTGTTAATTTACAATTTTTTCTGGGACTTCCTTTATCATTGCAAATTTTTAAAAAAATTTAAATAATTGCCGTGAAATTTTTTCGCTTCGTGGTGCTTTTCTTGTATACCCATAAATATGATAGTGGCATAATATAATTATTTTTTAAGTAAACAAAAAAAAAAAAATTCACCGTAACGTTGTAAAGATTTTGTTCATTTGTTAATACCGCCAGTAATGACATTTATTAACTAAAAAAAATTAGCTCCATTTGTTCGTACTTTAATTTTGCACATCTTGTATTGATTTGCGTCGAAAATATCCACACATATAAAGAACCCTTAATATTTCATTATTTAACGGCCTGCAACTTTTCACAATATAATTCAAGGCATAGGACGTTACATATACAATAATATACGGGATGTTCTATTTAAAATAAGAAATATTTTAGATACAAGGTAATAAATCTAGAACGGGGCTTTAGAATTTGAAATGCCCATAGACTAAATTTTGTAGGATTTAGACGTTTGGCTCGTCTCGTGGAAGCCGGTGTTGCCAATTTTCAGTAAATATTATGCTTTCGGCGCAAACCGATTAATTTGTCAAAAAAATAAAACAAAACGTGCGGTATCGTTAATACTCGCAAGTCTAAATATTTGACGATAATAATTTCTAACGGAAGTGCCGGGAATTGTAGGTTTAAATCTCAGCGTCAATAAACAAATGGTGCTTTATTAATAAACTAATGCCAGTAGAGATTTTTCGAGGAAATATATATACGGTGGACAGTCGATTAATGACGAGTCTGTCTGTTCTAGGTTCCCCGATTTTGCAATATCGTCACATACGACAATCGAGCCTGCTGAGTTCCGGTAAAAAAACTTTTCTGAAAGTTGCGTTTTCCTCTATCAACTGCTATTAAATGAAGATAAAAACAAGCCGGAAATCGCTCGTTACGATTTGAAATTCATTTGTTTTCGAAAGCTTGACACGATATTGAACTGGATCGAGTGCTAGTTTGAAAGACATTTTATACAGAATGTGTGCACAATAAGTCGACTAAAACGAAACCTAGAATCAATGCAAAATAACAATTTTAGGGTAGGTAAATTTTGTAAAAACTTTTTGCTGATTGAAGGGTTCAAAAAAATAAGGGCTCATAAAAATACGTTTTGTTAGTTTCAACGATTTTTATTTATGCAAGAGATTCAAAAAAAAAGTCACATTTCTGGTGGTTCGCTCAAAGGAAATAACATAAATGGCAAACAAAAGGCGTACATCACAATACTATTCGTTAAATCGGGCAGAAAATATTTAACATTTTAGACTTTTTTGGATGACGAATCTCCAACCTTGCTACTACTGCTTGTTTTTTTAAATAGTCCGACCAGATTGGAGGCACCGGGAAGTTGGTTAGTTTAATTTTCTTGCGACTCGATTTGGATATATATAATAATAAAAATTAAAAAAATTGAATAAATTTGAGATGAGCCGTCACGTTACGGTTCGAATTTTAAATTTATTTGGGTAATGGATCAAAAAATATTGCAGATGCATAGAAATGTTTAGCAAGTGTGTTTTTTAAAGGTTTACAAATTGTCGTTTTTTCTATAAAAACCACTCCGTCAATTTTTTCCTTCTTGGATTTATCTGTAGAATACGAAAATATACAGGGTGTTTCGCTCAAGGTGAAAAGAAACGGTGTAATTTTTTTTAATGATTTCAACTTTATTAAAATGAGTTAAACCTTTTCGAGAAAATATCTTGAAGCATATCAAATTTAAAGTTTTTATTGATAATATAAAAATAAACAGTTTTCAGTCCTGTTCCGCATAATCAGCCCAGTTCGATGTTTTTTTATAACAAATTGGCCGCCAACGTGGAAGCAGAAGTTTTAATAGGGAACTTGAATAGTTTTTTTATTTCTTCAATACATTTGTGTATCAAATATCAAAACTCTAAACCCATTATTTAAGTTGCAATAAATAATTTAAGTTGGGACACCCCGCTATTCCTTTTAAACGACGTCATACCGTTGTGTTATTCTGAGGTTATAGGCGGAGAATTATATTATTTACGTTTATTTTTAGCTCGTGTAAAGGCTTTTTTGTATTTAATCTACTCCAAGCAACACAAAAACAATATTACAAATTGTGACGTGTTCAGATAAACTTTTTATTCGTCTACCAAAAAATAAAAGTCGTCGTTTTTAGTTAACATTTGAATTTTAAAAACTAAATAACTTTAAGTTGATGACAATATTATATTGGTTTAAAACTAGCGGCTAAATTTTCTGTTTTGTGTGTAAGGTGTCACCATATCCACTAAAGTTAAAGTATCATATTGACCTTTTTAAAACATCGGTATCGGTCATTTAAATAAAAACCACCAAAACGTCGACGTTCTCTAATGACTTTTCTATGCTACCGTCCGGCCCGCGCATAACCTTACGAGCAAATTGACGTCACAACCGGTCACAGCCAGCCACAGCGGGTTTCAAAGAGGATTGAAAATTTGCGGGTGTCTTCGAATTAGTCGACTTTTTTCTAATTCGACCGACGCGTGAAACCATCAACGAGCGACGCTCGCCCGGAAATCACTACGTATCCGCGGATTCGGCTATTACCAGCTCGTCCTCGGCCGCACTGATGGTGATCATCATCTTCTCGTCGTTCGAACTCTCCGAACTCGAACGCGTAGAGGTGGCCGCCTCCTGCGAGTAATTCACGTGAGTGATGGCGTACTTGATATTGTTCTTGGTGTCCGTTATCCACACCGGCCGAGGCTTGACCTCCTCCTCCTCCGTCTCGATCGTGTTGTCCTCGGTCTCGCCCCACTCCTCCTCCTCCTCCTCCTCCTCCTCTTCGTCGCCCTTGTCCGGAGTGATCTTCTGCTTAAGGTGCGTCTTAAGGTGCTTCGATAGGTGGTCCGATCGCATGAATCTCTTGTGACACTCGCTACACTGGAACCTCTTCTCGCCGGTATGCGTCCTGCGGTGGCGCTGCAACTCGTCCGACCTCGTGAACTTTTTCCCGCACATCGGCCACCCGCACGCAAAGGGCCTCTCCCCGGTGTGCCACCTCAGGTGCGCCCTCAGATGGCTAGTCTTCCCGTACACTTTGTTGCAACCCGGTATGTGGCACACGTGCTGCTTCTTCCTGTCGAAATGCTTCTCCCCGTCCCTGCAATTCGGGCAGGTGCACGCCACCCGTTTCGGCTTCGCCTGGCTCTGTTTCTCCTGCTCGTTACCCTGCGCCGAGTCCCGCTCCGCTTGGATCGCGACCTGAGGTTGCTGCACCACCTGCGAAACCACCTGCCACTTGCTCGGGTCGTCGGGATCCTGCTGAAGTTGCTGCCCGACCGCCACCTGAGGCTGGGCTATCACCTGAACGTTTTGAATCGTCGGCAGGGTCTGCACGCCCGGCAGCTGAATGATGTTGCCCAGGTTGGTCCTCAGGTTGGACGCGGGTATTACGGTAAACTGCTGCCCGTTGGTCCCAGCGAACGTTAACTGGCACCCCTGATCGATCGGCGCGGCCACTTGCTGCTGCGGCAGCGAGGTCGCTATCTGAATCGACTGGATCTGACCGCCGGGCGTCAGGATGTTCGCCACCTGCGGGATCAGCTGGGGTTGCTGAATGACGCTTTGGGCGGCCAGCTGCACCGGCAGGTGTATGGTCTGGTATATCGTCTGGCCGTTACCACCCGATATGGGCACCTGTACCGGTATGGTTTGCTGCAGCAGCTGCGGCTGCGCTTGGCGCACCTGCTGCACCGGCACCCCGGCCGGCAACACTCCCCTGATCACCTGCCCGGGGTTTATAACGTGCTGGACCTGCTGACCCATCGCCGGGATGAAAATGGCCTCTTGACCGTCCAGGCTGACCGCCTGCGGCGCCATGACGCCGTAGCCGAGCAGGTTCTGGCCGGACAGCAGCTGCGCAGCCCCAGCCTGCTGCAGCTGGAGCTGCTGCAGCTGTTGCTGCGCGACGCCTACGGGCACGCCTATCAGTTGCTGGGCGGATTGGTGCTTCGTCTGCTGGATCGCGTCGCCGTCCTGCTTCGGCGACGGATCTGCCCTGGGAACGAAGACTCAGTCAGAAACGCGGCACGTGGAGGGCACGAAGAAAAAAAACGCAAAATTCGTTCCACCGCGCACCTTTCCTCGGGCACTTGCTAAACTGTAGTCTAACGTCCGGTAGGTAACGTCCGGTCGGTATAATGCGTACCCCAATATTCGTTGGAAAACGGTTCCGAAAACTATCGGAAGACCGATCAGATTAAAGAGGCCCCAAGAAGCAATTTAGTTGTTAAACGGCACTTTCAAATTCGACCAACCCAAAAAGTCAACTAATAACAGTCTCTCGCAGGCGATACTAAATTCCGTATACCTTTTTCACCAGAAAACTGTGTATTTGCCGTGGATATGACGACGACGAAAACGTATATAGTGTCGTCAATTGGTCAAACAAAAAAAACTCCGCGAACAAGACTTTTTCATACAAATTGATAACGAAATTATGCGTCCCGTCGTCCCACAAATTAGACACTAAACACAAATTGACTGTTTGAGATTTAGACCGCACATAAACAATAACGTTAAAAGGCGGCCTACATGAATCTGAAGCAAATACATCCGGTACGCCAATATCTTGAATTGCGAATCTTGAATATTGTCAAGGTTTGTTATTTATAGACCCTGCTTGGCAAATCTAAGACTCATCTAGGCCATCAGACAAAGACGAAGCGAAAATTTTGATGAAAAATACCTAGATTTACCCCCTTTTTTTCGAATTTCTTTCAATTATATGATTAATTAGTGAAATCCATCCATATACATTGCGATCCATTTAAAATGCTGACGAACAAAAATTAAATACAAGAAGTGTTTCACGGAAAGTATATTTTTTATTTGTGGTATTTTTATGTACAGGGTGCCCCGTGGGGCTAGGACAAATAGGCTAGCCTAAATATTAAATAAAAACTGTCGAGGCAACAAGGGATATCTTATAAAAATAAGACGCGATTAGAAACATATTTACGGGGGTGAGAAAGCGTTTTGTACTTAGTAATGAGTCTACTTACTTGCATAACCTGTTGATTTTATGTAGAATTTAAGTTATGTTACAAAAAAATTGGAATATTGTTAGATTTAAATAAATCGAGATTGTTTTAAAGACGACTTTTCCGATCTTGGCGTCAATGTCGAGCGGTGCATGCCAGAGCAGGGCATCAAAACTGATGCCCGTCGCCACCCTCTGCGGCGTCCCGGCTCACGCGCGCGAATAGACCCGAAGATTTCCCGACGCATCCGAAATCGATAGATCGCGCCAATATTTAAATATTCGAACGTAATCTAACACGGCCAAACTGACAACATTCCGCTCTCGGAATGCATGACTCATTTGAAGTGTCACAGACATGAACACACAGAAAAAAAACAAAGTTTTATTTCTTTACAGCAACGTTAAAATATATAGATGTGTACATCGGTAAAAATTCGTAAACCTTTCATTCTGCAGATTTATCATCAGCCGTCCCAGAGTTCCCTGTAATGAACAAAAAACGAGAATTCATCAATCAAATGAATTTCACAAACAATTGGGACTAGATTTACGTAATAACTCACAAGCTGACAGACACGATGGAAATTCTGTAGTAAGCACGCATTTACAAATACAGAGTTGACTTGAGTAGCACGATGGAAATACTGCAATAAGCACGTATTTGCGATGGGCTCTCAAACAACAAAATCAAAACACAGAGTTGACTTGAGCAGCGCGATGGAAATACTGCAATAAGCACGTATTTGCGATGGGCTCTCAAACAACAAAATCAAAACACAGAGTTGACTTGAGCAGCGCGATGGAAATACTGCAATAAGCACGTATTTGCGATGGGCTCTCAAACAACAAAATCAAAACACAGAGTTGACTTGAGCAGCGCGATGGAAATACTGCAATAAGCACGTATTTGCGATGGGCTCTCAAACAACAAAATCAAAACACAGAGTTGACTTGAGCAGCGCGATGGAAATACTGCAATAAGCACGTATTTGCGATGGGCTCTCAAACAACAAAATCAAAACACAAAATACTCCAAAGACTATTTAAATTAGTTTTATATACACAACTCAAATCAATCTAACACGGCACAACAAGTCAAATTATGTACTTACAATTGTCTAGTTGTAATAATCTTTGGAAATCGTCAGGCGTCCAATCAGTAGGCCAATGCCGCAACTGATCCTTAGAACATTTAAAAGTTTTCGGAGTACCTAATTTCTTAATCAAATACCGATTATTGGTAAGTGATCTCTTGATTATGTAAGGACCAACAAATTCACAAGAAAACTTTTCAGGTCTTTGACCTCGGCTTAACAAAACAGTATCACCTACTTTATACAGCTGATTGTCTCTTCGCTTCTTATTTAGATAATTCAACTGCCTTTCTGAATTTTGCCGTAGTTTCTTTATAACTGCGGAATAATCCACTGGAGATTTAGTTTCATCAGGGATTGGCAAATCGGTTAAGACTGTACGAATTTGAGGCGTTTGACCCTCTCGACCAAATACTAACTTAAAAGGTGAGCAACCAGTCGTCTTTTGTTTCGTAGTATTGATTACTAACTGGATCTTCCATACTTTGTTCGGCCAATCTGTTACTTTATTGGATTCAACTCTTAACAAATTGGTAATAGTTCGCATATAGCGTTCTATTTGTCCGTTGGAGCGATGAACACCGGGGGTTGTCACGTGTAATTCGATGCCAAAATATTCGGTAAATGATTTAAATATTTTTGCTATGAAATTAGTTCCAGCGTCGTGAATTAGTTTGGAGGGCGTGCCAAATATGCTGAGGAATTTAGCAAAATTTTGTGTTGTTTCTTCTGTAGTAACGGTGGATTGAGGATATAGGAGACAGAATTTGGAGAAGGCGTCAATTATAACAAGGATATATTTATAGTTTTTTGGATTACCTGGTAAGGGGCCCAGACAGTCGACATGAACTGTATGGAATGGTTCATCGGGCTTTGGGATAGAAGTAAGGAAGCCTTGTTTAGGACCCGTCTGATTTTTTCGTACTGCACATATCAAACAGTGTTCAACATACTTTTTAACATACCTGGTCATATGGGGAAACCAAAAGTAAAGTCTGATTGAGGCAAGAGTTTTTTCCCAACCTATGTGACTTTGATCATCGTGAAATATTTTCAAAAGACTATAACGGTTATTAGATGGTACAAAAAGTAAAGACTGAGACGATTTGTTATTTTTATTGGTTGTAATACGAAATAAGGTCTCTTTTTCTAATTTATATTTTCGTTTGACATCATCTTTAGCATCGTTCAAAGATTGAATGATTTGTTTACATTCCTCATCTTGACTTTGTGATACGGTAAGCCAATTTTTATGAAAATTGGGTTGTGAATCGATATGAGCTACAGTTTCAATTGGGTTCCTGCTAAGGAAGTCAACATGAGATATTTCAGAGCCCTTACGATAAACAATTTCGAAGTCGAAATCCTGCATATAAGCCCACCAGCGGGCGGTCCGCGGCTTAAGTTCTTTTTTGCTTGCAGATAATTTTAAGGAATTGCAATCAGTTACTAAAGTGAATCTTAATCCAAGCAAATATACACGAAAATTTTTTAAAGCTTTCACAACGGCCAGAGTCTCTAGTTCAAACGAATGATACATAGCTTCATCTGGATTGGTTTTTTGACTGAAATATTCAACTGGACGAAAGGTATCACTGTGTTTCTGCAATAAAATAGCACCGAAACCAATACTGCTCGCATCAGTATGCAATTGAGTCTCTAAATTTGAATCGAAAATTGACAATAGGGGTTTTTGAGTAAGGACATCAATAACATACTGCCTTGCTTTTTCACATTCAGTCGTCCAAACAAAGGGAACATCATTACGAGTCAAGTGAGTTATACAAGCTACTTTGGAAGAAAAAGCGGGAATAAATTTACGGAAGTAGCTCGCCAAACCGATGAATTGGCGCACTTGTTTCACGTTAGTGGGTGACAGACTTTCCTTGACTGCTTTAACTTTATTCGGATCAGGTCGGATACCATCAGCCGATATTTGACGACCTAAATAGGTGATGTTTTGCATAAAAAATCGACATTTACGAAGGTTAATTGAAAATCCGGCTTTAGACAAAGCATCAAGAACTAATTTTAGTTTACAAAATCCATCCTCAAGTGTGATGGAGGGTATTACTATGTCATCCATGTAAACAACCGCGGTGTCATATTTTAGGTTACCTAAAGCCATATTAATTGCTCTCTGAAAGACCGCAGGACCATTGGCCAGTCCAAAAGGCATTTTTAAATACTCATACTGACCATCCGGTGTCACGAAAGCGGTTTTTGGAATCGACTCGGGATTAATCGGGATTTGGTGAAAGCCCGAAGCCATATCAAGTGACGTGAAAAATTTATTTTTGCCTAAACGATCGAGCTGATCGTCAATACGTGGCAATGGATACCGATCTCTTAAAGTTATTTTATTCAAATGACGATAATCGACACACAATCGAAATGTCCCATCTTTTTTCTTAACGAGTATAATCGGGCTCCCAAATGGAGAATTGCTCTCCCGGACGATTTCGTTTTTAATTAGATCAGCAACGATGCCACGTACTTTCTGACGCTCAAACTCCGACATACGGTAGGGATGGTGATAAACAGTTTTGTTTTCTGTCAATGTGATGGTTAATTCCCCGGTATTGACAGGTTTAATGGTAAAATCAGTAGCAGTTGACAAATTCTGATAATTCCCCAGCAGTTTGATTAGTTCAGCCATTTCTGCATGCTCCAGATCACTTGTTATTTCCGAGTTATGAATGGTTCGAGTAGAATTTGTAAGCGCAAGCATGGGCATAATTTTTTGAACGTTTTTATTTTTTATTAAAACTACATTATTTTCGTAAACATTTTCACCAACGATAACGTCATATTTGGAATGACTATGCGGCACAATAACAAGATCAAGCGTTATTTTTATTTCGGGAAACTCTACCAATGCTTTGGTAAAAGAAAAAGAATTATGTATGGTACCGTCGAACCATCGTAAAGGAGTAACACGCGGAATTTTCTTTAGATTTAATTTGTCTACCAACGTTTCTTTTATTAGCGAACACGTGGAGCCGGTATCAATTAAACAATTTGTAGTGTAACCCGAAATAACGATAGGCACAGTTTTTAACTTGTTTTCATTAAAATTATGTGAATTGAGCAAAACGTGATGAGATTTAAATTTCTTTACGGTTGGGTCCTGTCCGGACTCTGAAACTTCACTTCCTCGACTTTGTTTATTTTGCCGACGAAAACAATTTTCAATGCCGTGACCAGGTCTTTTACAATATCGGCAAACATCAAACCCTTTATTATCCGAGTTATTGGTATTCTTAGTTTTAGATTTACAATCGCGAGAAAAGTGTCCCGATTGACCGCAAGAATAACAATTTGCCTGCGTCGTTTTTTTGTGTGAAAATACATTATTTTTCTTATTCAATTCGGATGCCGATTTTTCGACCAGAGGAATTTTTATGTAATTAGAGAGAAATGCAATTAAATCACTAACAGAGGCGGCACTACAATTATAGGCCGCAGTTCTGACCGCAAGATCGTCTATTGAATGAGCAATTATTTCGATCAAATCCGAATCAGACCAACTTGCCCGCGTGCGCTTTAATTTTTCTAATTTAATTCTCGCGTATTCAACATAACTGCGCGCATCGGAACTACGATAATTTACAGCATCGCTTAACAGTTTACCCAAATTCTTTTGTTTGGGAAAAGATACAGAAAAGTCAAATTTAAAATTTTCCCACGTTTCTTCCGTGGGTTGCCATGCCGAAAACCATCTTAGTGCAGATTTTTGCAAAAATGGACCAATTCTACTCACGGTTTCCCGATCTGACCAAGCAAATTCGTTCTTATACCCTTCAATTTTTTGTAACCAAATACCACTATCCATATTGTCGGGGTCAAAACTCGGCAAGGCCAACGAAATGGGAGTGGTTTGGGTGGCTGGCGATGTGGTTGATGTCGGCGACGGCTCCTTTGTACCGACACGCTGTTGCAAATTCTCAAGGATCGACGCTATGGCGCCCAAAGATCGATTCAGTTCTTCTTCGGCCATTATAGCACACTCCAAATTACGTTAAACGATTACACGTGTACCCCACACCTGATGTTAGATTTAAATAAATCGAGATTGTTTTAAAGACGACTTTTCCGATCTTGGCGTCAATGTCGAGCGGTGCATGCCAGAGCAGGGCATCAAAACTGATGCCCGTCGCCACCCTCTGCGGCGTCCCGGCTCACGCGCGCGAATAGACCCGAAGATTTCCCGACGCATCCGAAATCGATAGATCGCG